CGGTCGTATCAAAATGGAACTCTTCGCTGATATTGCCCCTAAAACCGCCGAAAATTTCAGGTATTTCTGCTTCTTTTTCTTGTCCTTTTTCTACTGATTATTTTATTTCCTGTTTAACCTTTGAATTTCCCCCCCCCCCCCATTTGCAGGCAGCTATGCACCGGTGAATACAGGTTTTTCTTCTCTTTTCTTTTTAAAACTTGAATTATCTGAATCTTCATGAGTAATTGCTACTTACCCCTTTTATTATTTGGATTGAATATCAGGAAAGCAGGGTTGCCTGTTGGTTACAAGGGTTGCCAATTTCATAGGGTTATTAAAGATTTTATGATTCAAGCTGGAGATTTTCTCAAGGTTGGTAGTTTATTATTATATGAGCTTTCATTTTACATTTATAATCTTATCTAATCTGCTACTGGTAAGTCATATTAATCTCGAGTACCCAGAATCTGGGATTTAAATTGCGGTTTTCACCATGTTTTTGGTTGCGTGGCGATTATTGTGATTGCGGACATAATGGGTGCTATTGCGATAATTACTGGTATTGCGGTTGTGCAATAACGGTTTCGGACGGCACTAAAACCACCATATAATGACTGCTATTCCGATAGCAGACCGCTATTTAAATCCCCGCCCAGAATCAGCTTCTAGAGTGTCTTGTAGACTATGAATTATTCATTTGTTTCGGAATATCGATCTTGAGCATGATGTTGAAGTACTCGTTTTGCTGTTGTTATGTTCTTCATTGAGTGCCCCTAGCTTGAATGTATGAGTCAATATTCATATTAAGGATAGTTTTTGCCTCAAAATGGAGGGCGGCGTTTGCCAAAGGAAATATATTTCAGTAACTTAGATGGTTGTTTTGATTTGTTAAATTTAAACTAGGCGCAACAAAATACGGGTTTTTAAATAATAGAGTTATTTGTGATTGATTTGGTCCGATCCGATGTATAATAGTTACATTAAAATCTCTCCTTGCAGGGTGATGGTAGCGGATGCACTTCCATTTACGGTCATAAGTTTGAAGATGAGAATTTCATTGCCAAACACACTGGTCCTGGCCTGCTATCAATGGTATGCTACTGCTTATGTAATCTTGAGTGACAATATGTTATATATAGTATCTTTATCTAATTTTGAAAGTGTCATTACTCGAAAACTTCTTTTTTCTTGAAGTACCCGTGTCTGACACTCATGTTCTATGCATATTTGGGCATGACTATAGTGATACGATCTTCCAAGTACTTGGAAAAACTTAAAAAAAATTGAACATACGCATGTTTTACACTCACGGTTGAGCCCGAATAACATAGTTTTTCCCGGAAGGGACATAGAGATATACAAAGACTAGTAGAGGTAATAGGATATGAAAAAAGTTCAGTGAAATTTTACTGAAGATGTATATGGTTTTTTTTTTTTTTTGCCTTTTACGTTGCAGGCAAACAGTGGACCAAACACCAATGGTTGTCAGGTAACTTACTCGATTTCTCTTTCTCACTTGTATATGCACAAAAACACGCACACGCACGTATGCAATCCGATGCATGTAAGAAAAAAACGCATTCTTGCACACAAAATGAGTAATGATCAAGTGCCTCCTCCATTAAAGGCTAGATTGTAGAACGTTATGTATTCCAGCTAGGTGAATGCAGGATTCGATGGAGAAATATTGCTGTCACAAAATCTTTGAGCATGTCTATTTTTTTTAGGATAACTATTTTAAAAAAATCTTGGTAAATCATCTTGTTTACTGTTACAAAGCCTTTTGTATATTGATTCCGCTGTTTATTGGATGCAGTTCTTTTTAACGTGTGCGAAATGCGAGTGGCTTGATAATAAGCATGTTGTATTCGGGGTATGTTCTCTAGTCTTTTATTGCAGAATGCATCTGTATTTTCGTAACTTTTGAAGATGAATAATATTCTCGAAATGATGAAGAATATTTCGTCTGTGATCATGTAGAGGGTGCTCGGAGATAGTCTTCTTGTGGTTCGGAAGATCGAGAATGTGGCTACGGGACCAAACAACAGGCCGAAACTACCATGCATTATTGCCGAGTGTGGCGAAATGTAAAACTCGATATTCGTTTAACGCATCTGCTGAAAGCCAACCACGAATGAGATTGCTGTAAACATTTTAGAATCTGTTTACTCTTAAGGTCATGGTTCTTGATTATCAAGATGTTGACAATGTTTGCATTATGCGTTAAGGGTGTTGGAGTTTCGTTTAACTGTGATTTGTATGGTTTGGGATCGTGTAACAACCTAATAATATTTGAATGGGTAAATTATAGATTTTACCATTCATATTTATTCTTACTTTTATTTTGGTCACTAAAGTTTAAAGATTTTCAGTTTAATTACTTAATTTTTGAGTTGCTTCTATTTTGATTATTCCATGTTAAATCATTAAAGGTAGGATGAAGTGATTTTATCTTATTAATATTTTACTATGATTTGGATTGTTTTAATAATATTACGTGACACGTAATTTAAAAAAAATAAATTTAAAAGTAAGCTATACATATAACCTCTTAATTAGTACTCCCTCCGTCCTATAAAAAATGTCACTTATTGATTTAAAATTTAAAATTTTTTAAACTTTGACCATAATTATTTTATATATTCTAAATAATTAAATTTTATAAAATACATATTTAAAAACTATTTAATTAAATTTTATAAAATACATATTTAAAAACTATTTGATTAGACGTTTTTAAGATGTATTTTTATATATTTTTAGCAAGTATAAATTTTAAATAATAACTAGTCAAAATTTAAAAAATTGACTAGAAAAAAGTCAATATTAGACATTTTATGGACACGGGAGTACTTTTTATTTTGACCACTGATCTTTTAATTTTGTTAATTATATCACTAACTATTTAAATGATATATCAAATTATCTGTTGTTAAAATTTAACGAAAAGGATAATGTAGCAATTAACAAAATTAGAATAATTACACATTTGAGTCTTAATACTTATGTATTCTATTAATATGATCCAGATTTAATTTAATTTAATTAAAAAATATTGATGGAAATACTCATTATCACAAGCCTCAAATCCTCATTGTCACAAACCCCAACTAGAGTAAACAAAATTCGACTCAATTTAAAAATTTGTTTTTTTTATTTTACTCGAAAAAATCAAATTCAAGTTGTATTATAAAATAAAACCTGGATAACTCAAAATTTTTAGTAATTAAATGATTGATTTTCAATTTTGAATTGAGTTCGTAAATTATATATAATATATGTATATCACATATAAAAAAATATAAAGAGATACATATGTATTGTATATGATTATAGAAACCTTTTAAATCAAGTGGTATCATAATATATAAATATTTAGAATTAAATTTAAACATAAACTCGAACAATTCGACTCGACTCGAAATAATTTCGAATAAAGTTTCGATTATAAAATAAAAGTCATCAACTCAAATAACTAAAAAAAATTACTCAACTCGATTGAACGGTCAGTCCTGATCTTAACCCTCACCCAGCCTCACCCTATGGGTAGCCAACATCCCAGATGAACCAAAAGGCAAAGCATTTCTATGAATTGCAAAGAACCAGCCAACATCCCAGATGAAATTACTTCTATTGTCTTGCCAACGACAAGATGGCCGGGAATAGCTTCACTCATTTATTCCGAAAAAGGATTAGTTACAAAAATGTAAAAAAAAAATTATTTTACATAAATTTAGGACCGGATGAATAAAAATATATGTATGAGGTTAGCAGTAGAAAATAAGAAAAAAACTGGGAAAAAATTAGGAGTCAATCCTAGTTATCTATTTTCACTCATACAACGGTTAAATATATATATAATGTACATTGTACAATGCTATCATAAATTATGATACAAAATTAAGTGATCAATTATATTGCACGTGTCATAAGTCTTAAAGAGTATATATCATAAGTTGTATTTATAATTTGTGATAGATAAAATTATAAATACCTAAAAGACTAACATAATATTTAGTTTATATAAAGAGATAGTGGTCCCAATAGGTCAACTTTGTGATAAGAGAAAACCCATTTTATTAGAAGATTGTAATCAAAGAATGACTCAAGGATTCAACCTATCAATTAATTCGGATATACTTATGCATCTAGTATGTTATTCTTGATGATTTGACATGATCAGATCCTGATTATTTTTATATTAACTATAATTTGATTCTATCAAATCCTTCGCAATAAGAAATAAATGAGAGAAACATAAAATATATTGAAAAATACTCCAAGACCCATAAACCTAAAAACATCAACTCAAAGAATAAGGCAAACAATAAAAAAAAATCTCGAGAAAAACTTGAAATCTAGAGAGAAAAAATAAGCATAGCACTTAGCGTAATGATATCAAAATAGTATTAAAGATGATTATAAGATAATATTTGTTTAAAATTTTACTTAATTTATTGACAATACAATTTTACACATACATCTGCTTGAATCTGAGTCTCTTAGGGATAATAACATTCTCTTTTACACTGAAATCACTCAATGGATTCACAGTGAAATAATGTTAAATTCAAATATTTTGGCCGTTTTCGATTAAATAGACATACATTTATGGGGAAGAAACGAGTTTAATGAAAATTTTTGGATTCATTGACTAGTGTTAACAATAACTTGCGAAACTGAAATGGTGGATGACGTGCTAATCAGAATATAAGTAAGTAGACTCAACTCAGAGGAAAAAAAAAGAGAAAGGAAAAAAATAAGGAAAACCGTGAATAAAATAAAATTTATCGAAATCTAATACGTAATTTTTTGCTATAAATATATACTAAATTAAAATAAATAAATTTATAAACTATTTATGTAATATAAATTTGAGTTGGATCTGGACCGGGTTTAGAGTTTGAACCGAAAATCTTGACTCAAGCCCAACTCGAAAACCGCAGTCCATCAATGTTCGATCTGCTGTAACAAACGACAGCGTTTTAAGACTCCAAGGCTTCACATTGATTATAGGTGCAAAAGTTCATTTCCTTCCCGTCATCCCTCTCACCCTGACTCAGAGTTACTGAACGAACTCGAGCTCGAACTCAGATTACCTAAATGGCGTTCACGTTGAGGAGTGTGAAAGTACCACTGAACTCAGCGAGTTTGGAAGAAGCAAGGGGCCGAGTCTTCGATTTCTTCAGAAAAGCTTGTCGATCGATCCCCACTATTATGGATATCTATAACCTAGACGACGTCGTCACCAAATCTCAGCTTCGTTCCATCATCGCCTCTGAGATCCGTAAGAACACCCATGTTACTAATCCCAAGGTTCGCTTCCCAGTCTCCCCATTTTAGATCCTTTTATTTATTTATTTTTGATCTGTTATTTTTTTTGGGGAATTTTGTATTTTCTTTTTCATTTTTGAGTGTTGTGGAAAAATTAAAAAAATTTGAAGTATGGATATCTATAATTTTTTAGATTTATAGCAATTTGAATAAAGAGAAAAGAAAATAATGAAAAATTAAGATAATCCAGGATTGGTGATTATCCTATTGAAAACTGAATTTAGGATTAGCTTAGATGATGTGGGATTGTGAGGGGAAAAGTTGGGATATTTCTATTTTTAATTGAATTGGATATGTATGTTTTGATTTTGATATATCTTCATATTTAATGGGAATGCTAAATTATGCTGTAGAATCAATTTTTTTTTTCATTTTTTGCTCCATTGTAAAGAGTAGAGTGTGAAGATTTCTTCGGTAAAGGGCTAATGGATTGTGTTGAAACATTTGTTTGGATTAATCTGGAATATCTATAGCTCTGTGAATAATGGTTTCTGTATTTCCTGTTTCGATCTACGTGTGCTCCGTCAATGATTTCTCTGGGATTTTGTTCATCTTATGATTTACTCTTGCATGAGCTGTTTGCGGCTATTTTTCTTTAAATGAAACAGCTTAATTTTCTGAATGCTAATTGATGTAATCTTCCCATAAGTTGTTTTGAGTTTGATGTCGTTTGAATGGTATCAAAAAAAATGTCGTTTGAATGGTATAAAAAAAGTCTTTGTTTGCTCAAACTTCATTCTCATGAAGTATCCGTATCCGATGTTTGGTATGGGAGATATGGCCTCCGAATATCCTTCAAATATTTGGAAAAACTTAGAAAAATGTAACCATTCCTGTGTCCGATACATACCCATGTCCGAAACTTACACCCGAGTCCGGCAAAAGTTAAGTTTGTAGCCTCTTGATTTTTAATCTTAAAGAATTCTTTTACTTTAGCCAGATGATACCGTGGCTGTTGATGGTGAAAGGTAGATTATTCTGCAGATCAAATGATCATGTGTATTGATCATATGTAATTTTTGCTTCAAATAAATTACTGTTTTTTACATTGGGATGACGTTTAAAGATTATCCTGGGGTTCTCTATTTGGAAATTGATCAATTGATCTTGCTACCAGTGTATTTCAGGTTTTCTCTGGAGAAAACTGATGACATAGTTGATGCTAATAGAGTTATACATTTTTTAAATTTTTTCATGTCTCCATACCCTTGCCCTAATATGTGTTGAATATGGTATCGGACACGAGCACTTTAGAAAAATGAATTGTTGGATTCTATGTGTCCTATAGGAAAGTTCCCTTCTTTTATTTGCATGTTCAAATCTTCAACATATGTTTTAGTTGTATTAATCTTGTGTGCAGCAATTCTAACTGATGTTTGCCCAGAAGTGTTACTTTACTCTGAAAATGAATTGTTAAATATCTCATTAGCTACTGAATGTTATCATTATTGGCTTCAGCACACATTAGGAACTGCAACTTATAGGAGGTAGTGCCTTACCAAATTGATTATAGAAGATAGCCTCATTGGCGTGTATTTGGTTTTTCCAGAAACACTCTTTACAATACTCTATTCATTCTCTCTTTTGCTGCCTTCTTGTTGGTAGTTGATATCAAACTGTAGTCATTTGGCAGAGCTGCTTCGTTCCTGATAATAATTCAATCGCAATATGTGTTTGTTTATTCGATACATTGGTGTATGGTTTTAATTATTTTCTGCTTACGAACGAGTCTGAGTAGGCACTGGAAATACGGAAAGGATTCTTGAATCTTTACACTGCAAATATTTGGCTGACTGATTTTGGAAACACCGTTTTCAATTGTCTTGATAGCGAGAAATCTGCAGGTAATTGATTTGCTGCTGTTTAAGGGTATGGAAGAGCTGAACAACATCGTCGAACATGCAAAACAACGGCACCACATTATCGGGCAGTATGTGTTGGGCCGTCAAGGGCTTGCTCAGGATTTGGACACCAAAGACGAAGGCACGTCCGATTTCCTCAAGAATTTCTATAAAAGCAACTACTTTTAAACATTATGTTTTCATGGACAGCTCCTAGGCAATCGAGTCTTTGACTTCCTTGATAATAAAATTTTCAATCCGTACCTTCGATTCGGTACATTCCACCGATTTTGATCGTGTTGGTTTTCATTAATGCATAGAAATGCATCATGCATGCTTGAATTCTGATGAATTCAATATTTATTCCCACACCTAAGAATTAATTATCCTTTGAAGGACATTAAAGGCATTGCATGCTATTTTTAAAGATAATTTACATTTGTTAATCATTCGATATATTTGTGGTGTTTTTTAATCATTTAATCTACAATCGCATGTCATTAATTAGTATTTATATGAACTTTGGGATGTTAAAATGTTACCATATTTAAAATGTTATAAAATCATTAACTTTTATCTCTACACTTACTATAAATATGTGATTCAAGTGAATGGATCATTTTTCATAACATTTTCGGGTTGTAACCGAAATTATTACGAAGTGTATCTTTTTCGGTTGAAAACCCTCCCACCACCAATGGTTCCAAAGCTGTCTTAAATTAACCGTTTTTTTTTTTTTGAAGAGTGTAACTTTTAAACTGGATAGGATAACATTTTAGATTAAAATTGTCTTAAATTAACCTTAAATTAGGTTACAACACAAAACTACCCCAATAACTAAATTGGTATGGTTCCAAAGCTTGAGTTATGATTTCATGTTTCCATTCAAATCTCCATAACCGATACTTGAATCTCTAAGTGGCAAATGGTCGGTGTCTCTTGTAATGACTTCACTCGTCTATTCCCAAAATCTCACTGCTCATTAAGAAGATTAAGCTGAATACGGATACGATGAATATTATCTCTGTCTGCTCTATAATTTATATTTAACAAAAAGATAAGATTATTTAAACTCTGTAAATTATGTTTAATAGATAAGCTGGTTTGCCCGAGTGTTTAAGTTGGCAGACTTAAGATCTACCGCATTTTAATGCGCGTGAGTTCAAACCTCACAGCCAGCATTTTGAAATTTCCTTCATTTATCCCCACAACGAATGTTTGTTACAATCAGTCACAGAAAAAGTCACTTTTCTGTTAAAAATGAAACCAAAACCTAAATATTAGGGAAAATACTTTTAGCTTTCCCCATTTGTCGGTAGGGATGGCAACAGGTCGGGCTTTTGGTCAATTCAATCCGATGTAAAAATTATATATCTTTCATCTGACTTGATTCGACTGGAAAAATATATATCTTCCACTCAACTCCGATCTGATCTGAATTTTTAGAATATAAATCCGACTCGACTCGACTTGAACCCGTATATTTTTTAAAATAATCCAACCTATCAAGTCGAGTCGAGTCAGAATGTTGATTTTGGTTATTTGTCATCCCTATTTATAGGTAAAAAATAAGGACTTTTATAGGGTTTGTTATTGGTTAGTGGGATTAGAGTTATCGGATAAAGTGATGGTAGGTGGTTATTGAATATGAAGTCGATAATATTTGGGAGAGAGAGAAATCAAGTAAGTTTTCTATAGATTCGGGTTGATCCATGTATATATCTAATCCGAGTTTAGGTTTTAGTATGAAATTAATGGCATATATGTCTCTATTTTAGGTTGTAGATTAATGATTTGGGTTTTGAGCAAGCCCGAACGAAGATATATACTTATAATACTTAAAATTTTCTATATAACATCCAATCAACGGGTTAGTGACCAAAATGTAAGAATTTTAAACTCAATGGTTGAATTAGAATAATTCAATAAATTCAAGGATTTATAGTGGAATTTATGTGTAGGGCTTGATGGAATTTTGGTTTAGTGGAGAGGGTAATATGGTCTTTTCCAAGAAGGATTTTATCTTCCTTTTTAAAGGAGATAGACACGTGGGTTTTGGAAGAAAATCAAAGAGAAGTTAGAACCATTTCTTATCTTTTCTTCTACGTGAGCTCCATTCCTCAAGGTAAGAGTATGGAATTTGTGATTTTCTTTAAATTTGGTTTGGTAATGAAAGTTTGGGTGTTATATAAGCTTAAGGAAAGCTTATATAGGATTAAAACAATAAAATGAGTAAATTAGAAAAGGATTTGTAAAATGGGTTTTGAAATTAAATTTTGATATTGAGAAGTTTTTGATGTTTTAATAAGATATTTGACTTGTCAATGAGCTAATGAAATGGTTAGGAGTCTTAGAATTGATTAAGCGATTGGTTGAAAACATGGTATAATTTTTAGAGGTAAGGTTTTGGGTGGAATTTGGTATGTTTAAGATTAGTAATTGATGACAAGTTGGGTTGGAAGTTTAAGGATGAGTTTAAGGCTTATGATGTGATGAAAATAAGATTTAGGAAGATTTTTGGGTGAATTTCGAAGTGAAAATGGCCATTATGGGCTTCAAGTATCAGTACCATTAGAACTGTACCGATACTTCAAGGGATAATCTATGTATTTCTTTAGGGTAGTATCGATACCAGTTGAAGAGTGTATCGATATTGTAAGGGTAGTATCGATACTAGGGGATGGTATCGATACCATTTTTAAGATACGATTACAGAATGCCAAATCAGTATCGGTACCTTGTGGAGGTATCGATACACATGAAGGGTAATATCGGTATTGTATAGATGGTATCGATACTTCTAGGCATGAAATGGAAAGTAAGAGTTTCTTGCATCACAAGCTATTCTGATTGGATATAAATGATTCGAAGAACGATATTGATTTTAGATTATTTTGTAGTGATTGAACGTAATCAACTTCCGGTCAGCTCGACATATTAAGTATCGATTCGAAAAGGTTAAGGATTTGGATTAGACTTCAGTGAGGCAAAGATGAGTGTAACTTCTCGGGAATTGAGGAAGGCTTACAATAAGCCAACCTCAATGTTTTCGAACAAAAACTTTATAATTTCTTTATTGTTATATTGCAATGTTTTATTTAATTGATATTATACAAGCTATGTTATAAGATTATATGATTATGGAAATGTGTACTTTGAACAAGTGAATGTGAAAAGATTCTATGTGAGAGTAACTATATGAATAAGAAACACATCAAATAATGATTGAACATAATTATGTGATTAATAGCCCAAAGTATGTGTATGAGTATTAGAGGTATAGTTGGCATGCCAAGAGTCGAGGGTTTTATATGATCCTTCGGGACAAATATGTGGCACTTTGGTGCAAACCTATATGGCGCTTCGATGCAAACCTATGTAGTCATTTAGGATAATTATGTGGCACTTCGGTGCAAATTACGAGTTATGGTGACAACATTAGTTCACAACCTCAATGTACTCAAATACCTAGCATTCTCAGTAGTATACCTTGGGCATTTGGAACAAAGATATGCAAAGTGAATATTATTCATAAGTATACTTTTTGATATGGAAAATAATGAGAGTTCTTTGTAAAATATTTTGATAAAAACAAATAAGATTTTATTTACTAAGTTAGTACTATTAGTATTTGCCTCACTAAGTCATCGACTTAGTATGTGATTTCCTCATGCGTAGGTTTGAAGAAAGCTGAAGACTAAGTTGTGGAGGATATCATACCACTTGAAGATCAAATCAGGACAAATTAAATATAGGTTTTTGTTAATTTTGTAAACTGTTAGCATGTATTATACTTTTAATTTGAAATGCTTTGATCAATTTTGTAAACTTATATATTTTGCATATATGTAAGATATCAAAGCTTCTACTTAAATATGAATGGGAAATGTTTATCTTATTTAAGTTAAGGTTGATACCTTGTTATATTGATCAAAAATTTTAAATGGTTCTTATTTTCTAATTACATGTGTTTTGAAAAGTCAATGTGACACCTCAGGCTCGTATCCGGGTCGGGTACGGTTAGGGGTGTTACATTTAATGGTATCAGAGCTATGGTTTAAGTAGTTTTAAGTTCGAAATAAAGTATTTTTGTTTTAGAAAGTGTAAATGCAAATTTTAATAAAGTCTTTCTGATCTAATAAGGTGATCCATATGCTATCCTTACTAATACCTTTAGTAAATTGATCTTAATAGATGTCGAACTTTGAAGGCTCTCGAAGTGATACGGGAGATAGGATGGAGGAGAGTAGTAACTCACCTGCCCCGAGCAGGCATGGTGAGGAACATGCACAGCCTGAAGTGCCTGTGCAAGATCAAGGGACCTTCTTTCAGACGTTGGACGCGATCCTGATGCGTTTCCAACCGTCTACCCCCTCAGCCCCTAAAATAAATATCCCTAAGGAGCTGAGAAGTCTAAGAGCACCTGAATTTAGGGGGGATGCTGAAGAAGGTCTATTGTTCTGAAATGGAGAAATTGGATGGTGCGGTTTTGTTATTAAGAGGTGAAGCCAGAATTTGTTGGTCGAATGGACAATGAGAGCTTCAAGGGATCAGGTGACTTGTCCCTTCTTTCTGGAAGAGTTTAAGAATAAATACATAGAGGATCAGTTTATCAGGCAAATGAAGCAATCATTGTTGAGTTTAAAGAAAGGAAATCACACAGTGTATGAGTTCGAGTGCGAATTTAATAAGTTTAGTCAATTTGCTGCGGAGTTGGTGCCTACAGAGAATGACTCATATGATTGGTTTGTGGAGGGTTTACGACCTCGATTGAAAGATTTTGTTGGTACTTAACCTCTCTTTCTTTCAAGAGGTTGTGAATTGAGCTAAAGCTCTGGAGCGAGCTCAAAATGAAAGATTTGCGAAGCAAATGACGCAATGGAATAAGAGATCTGGTGCATTATCCGGTTTTTATCAATCAAATAAAAGTAGAGGTTCGAGTTCTCGACCTCATACTAGAATAGAATCAACAACATCCTCATGTAGAGGATCAAATAACTTATTCGGTGGAATCCGGATTGGACAAGCCGAAACAATATCAACATTGTGGGAAAAACCATAGCGGAGTTTACAGAAGGGTCTCCGAAGCTTGTTTTAAGTGTGGAGAGGTAGGGCATTTTATTTGAGACTGCCCAATGATGACGGGAGAGCATGCCTAAAACAGAAAGATCCACGGCTGCAATGAGAGGAAGAGGTAGAGGAATGAATCAATCTGAGTCGACTGCTCAACCTGAAGTACGCTCTACCACTCGGGTGTAAAATTTGAAGACCAGTGAAGATTGTGATGATCCTGAAATCATTGCAGGT